AGTATCGGAAGCTCGCATCTCTTTGTCAACTTACATCTTGTGGTGGCTTTGGAAGTCCCGAAACTTGTGGGTCTTCCAAAATGCATGGATTTCAGAGGAGATTGTAGCCAAGATAGCTCGCAGAGAGTGGACTGAGGCTGCTTGCTGTTTTTGAGGATCTCTCTTGTTTTTGTCTGTCTTTTTTGTTGTTTGTTGTCCTATACATAACTAGGTCCTTATGGTTCAATGGCTTGGATGTAGTTGTTGTTGTTTGTTTTTTTTGGTTGATGTTTGAGTAGTATCTAGTTTGAGGGCTCAGGTTTCCATAACCTCGGTTATGCCTGTTGTTCTTTTATGTGTTGTTCTAGGCCACCGGTCAGGTGTGGTTCTCTGGTTTGTAAAATGGCTAGTTAGCCATTCGGTTGTAGACTCCTTTTATTGAGTATTGGTAATAATATCGTTTGGAAAAAAAAAAAGAATGTGAAAATAGTATTCCTCCATGGTGATTTACTAGAGGATGTTTATATGAAACAACTTAAAAGTTTTTCTCTAGTAAGGGTGAGCATTTAGTTTGCAATCTTAATAAATCAGTATATTAACCGAAACAGGCCTCCCATCTGTGGTATTTCAAATTATATGAAATTATCACTTCATTTGGTTTTAAAGAAAATGTCATGGATCAATGTATATACCGGAAAGTTAGTGGGAGCAAGATATGTTTTCTAGTTCTATAAGTTGTTGATATACTACTTCCAACTAATGATAAAATTAAGTATATCAAAAAATTTAATTTTTGGTATGCCTAGTTGGCCAATGTCCATACATATGTACTTGTAAACATAATCACGGATCTTGAATAAGTAATTTGATGGATACGAAATATTATTTTATGTGTAAGACGATATAAATATGTTCTTGATCTTAATGATTTCACGACTCGCGTAATTCTTTTGATCTAAATCAGTTTTTCCTTCTTGATCGTTCCTTAAAGAAGCAGACAACTGATGGGAAATACTGCGTACCCGAATTCGAGAAGAGATGACTAATTTATATAGGAGTGGCTTTAGATTTGATACGCCCATCAAATATCCAGATTAATGGCTCAGATTTAATTTGAACATTAAATAAAGCCCTAGCCCAATAGGATAATCAATTGTGAGCCTAATGCTTTTGTGTCACATATTCTTACATTCTTTCACTTGTTCCCAAAGCCCTTAATTTAATAGTATAACAATAGGTGTGCATAAAAAAATTCTCATTATGTCATACATCATAATAAACTATGTAATGCAAGTGTGAACGCCCTGGTCCTGTTCAGAATAGATCGATTCTCGTCCTCGCCGGTAGAACATCGGAAACCTGTAAATAACTCTCACACTGGGGTTTGTGTCTGGTGAAGAGCCTTTGATGCTTAAGTCAGTATGTGTATGAGTATACTGAAGTGAATAATGGAAAAATCGTGTTAAGGGAGAAAGGCTCACCCCCTTTATATAGGGGTGAGATACCTGCCCTAATAGCTGCCCGGATAAGGTGAGTTGGCTGCCCAAGCTGCCCGTTCGTACATGTCAGAGGTGGCGTGGGGCGTTGGGAGCTGTCAGAGCTGGTTATCGCTATCAACCACTACATTCTCGACACGTGTCCTCCTGCACATGGGGTAAATATTCTCCTGAAATTTGGTTAGAGGCTCTTACACGCGCCTGTGACTAGGCCGATCTCGCGAAGTGCTCGGTCCACGAAGTGGTCGACCGATCGAGGTCGATTGAAATGCTCGACCGTTCATCTGGTCGAGTTATATATTGGTCGACTGTTTAGCTGGTCGACAGATTAACTGCTCGATTTCTTCGACTTCCCCACGGTATGACCTCCTCGACCGGTCAGCAGATCGGTTTACCCTTGTGGGTATAATATCCTATATCACTATGTTATGATAAACCATAAAGTGATAATTATGGCGGTTGTACACTCTCGATTCGCATACTTCCTTCCATATACTACTAAATTAACATTTTAACACATCAAGTTTCATAATTATATATGAATATAATAATGTCCAATTAATTGTCTTAAAGAAATTTATTTCTTGTTCTAAACATAAAGTATAAAAAATCATAACGAACAAGAAATCCAATAAAACCCATAGATTGGATACAAAATTATCACAAAAAGATCCCAACATTTTTAACTCAACTACTTTTTTAAC